TTATTTATTCCCTTTTTTTTTCACCATGTATGTTGCTGAGATGGGATCCTCATGGCACCTGGCTGCCTTCTTTGGAAAACATAACTGGTGAATGATCCTCTTGTATTTACATGGCTCTTACTAGGCTTCTGTGTTCTGTTTTCACCAACTTAATGGAGGGTTTCCTGCAGTCTGCTCAGAGTTCACTGTTCTTTTCCTTGCTTAATGATAGTTCAGTTTTTATTAGGAGATTTAAACCATAGTTTCTCATGCCTGATAGAGTGAAGAAATGGAATAAAACAGGCATCTTCACAATATATATTCAATGTATGGGAAGAATTGCTAGCAGTAATACTAAAAACTGAGGAAACAACAAGAATAGTTTAATTATGAGATCAGGCTGGTTCACATGTTTTAAAGATATGCCACTTAATCTACATCGACTTGCTTAGGTTACTTGCAGCTTTAGATTTCAACCAAGAAAAATTACATTGAGTACAGTTTTGTGATTTTTTTCAGAAAATATCAGCAGTGAAAACTGAACAAACAGCAGAATACTGCTAGTGTGAATTTTCAACAGCTGAATGGGGGAGTGCTGTGAACATAATGTAAAAATTATATTCATATTTGCTTAAATTATGTTAACAAAACAGGCTAAGGTGTTAAAATGTATTATGGAAGAAAACAAAGGTGTTGCTATTATTTTTTCTCTTATTGTTTTAAAAAGTACAATGCAGTTGGCAGTACAATCAATGGACAGATTAATTCTTAAAACATCAGATACAGCTGAAAGTCACTTGTAAAGTAAATAATTAACAAGCATAATAAAAATAAAGGAAACCCAGTAAATCATTAAAATGCATCATGTGCTGTATACAATGAAAAGTTAACAAGGTGCCCATGGTGAAACTGGGTTTATTTGACCAGCAGTGGCATAATTTCTTCTACATTTAGTTTGAGGATATCTATATGTGGTGTGTGTGTGTGTGTGTGTGTATTTATACATTCATACATACATACATACATACATACATACATACATAATTTATGCATGTTTAATATGTGGATGGAAAGTTACAGTAGACATAATTGCACTATTGGAAGATCAGAAAGACCAGGTTAGGGTTAGGGTCAGATCATCATGGAGGGAATTTATGCAGTAACTAAGATTCTGCAATGACTTGTTGCACATGATCATTTAATTGATGTATACATTCATGCAACTACACACAGGCATAGACAGCTAAAATCTCACTGCCATTACACCAGAATAAGTATATACCTCTACAGATGTTAACTTCTTTCTTACTGGATCTGGGCATGAAACGTTATTGTATGGTTTCACTCATTTAAAGTTTTCTTATGAGCAATTAAAACTTTATATCATAATAATATACTATATAAATAGTATAAGGTACAATTCTAAATGGTTTCCTTTAAAAATATGTGCCTATTTACCTAGTGATAATTTACATTTTCACATTTCAATATCTCATTTTTTTCCTATATACAGCTTTCTTTTTTTTCTTTTTCTCTTTTTATTCAGTTAACTACTTCTGCTCTATCTCCTCACAGTTCTCTCTTTTTTCAACTTCCTTTTAACTTTCTATTCCATCTGCCCTGATAATTTTTAATCCAATGCAAGTAATCTACTGTTTCAGCGCAAAGCATGCCAAATTGTGGTTGCTTATTTTAGATATTTTTTTCTATTCTATCAGAATCCAAAAACACCTGGCATTTTGCGTATGAAACAGAAACAAGAGTACCTTTAAAAAGAGATAGAATTATCACTGTGTTAAAAAATATTTCAGAATAATTCCATTTTAGCTGCCTTCCATATAAGAAATGCATTACTTTTGCCAGATGTAAAATTTTAAACAACGTTTTAACACTATGATGGTCCCTTTTCTGTGTTATTAATTGCTGCACTTCATTTGGCAGCAGGGTTTTTTGAAAACTCTTCTAATATTTAGAACTTTATATTTATTTATTTGTATGATGCCTTCCTCCTCCTATTTTTTCCACAGTAAACCTGGAAGGTGGGTAGAGTTGAGAGAATGACTGGCTCAAAATCATGCAGCTGGTTTTCATGGCTAAGGCAGGACTTATGCTCACAGTCTCCTGCTTTCTAGTCTGGTGCTTTAACCCCCAAACAAACTGCTTCTATAAAAAATATGAGTCCTTATTTATTTCTGTTAGATGTCAAGTTGAGTATAATTCTGTTTAAAAATTGAAAACAAAATCTTTTAAGTCTCATAATCTTTAAACAGTATAAAGATACCATGTCTAAACTAATGTTAGTGTAATATCTATAGCCATGAGAAATTTACATCAGTCTGGGAATCTGCTGGTGGGGTCTGAAAAAGGCATGTTCACACATACACCCCAAAGGTCTTGTACTCTTTCTTGTACGGAAAGGGAATGTTTGTAAAAGGGCATTATCTAGGTGGTGTTTTTCTTTATATGAAGATTTATGTTTGGTTGTGCATGAAGTTCTAATTCCACTAAGAGTATAAATGCATCCACAAAGAATGTAGATTGATAATTTAATGACTTGGTATTTTTTAGAAAAGTCCAACTTTTAGAAAATTATTGATTGTTTTTATTAGATGACTAGAGACCATAAGAATTCCAGAAGATTGTCAATGGAAGAATCATTGGAAGCCACGTCAACTGTCACCATTCCTTCGTTGTCATATTCCACAATGTTTGTTTGACTTGCCTTAGAAGAGTGGTCATATGTATGAACAAGGAGCTCATAAATGTAATGACAGAACATTAGATAAATCTCCTAATGAATAGAACAGTGGTCCCCAACCTTTCTGGCTTGGCAGAGGGGGAGAGGGGATGGCTCTGTGTGAATGGCAGGCACATACAGGAAGCCTGCGCAGCTCCATTTAACCTGTGGGCACACATGCCTACCACTCACTCAAGTGCAGCTTCGCATGCGAGCCTGCTGCTCACACAAATGGAGTCTTGTGTGCAAGCATGCACATCAGCCATGCACACAAATGAATTGTGAAGGATATGTGTTTGTGTTTTATTTTTGTAATTATAAGGTACACTGAAGATGGCATTTAATTTCGTTGTACGAGGTGCAATTACAATCAAGTAAACTCAACTAATGGTCTCCTGCTTGGGCAGCGGGTTGGACTAAATGTATAAAGGTCCTTTCCAACTCTGTTCACCCTAATCCGGTTAATCCATTTTTTTCCTCATTCTAACAATTGCAGCATGATAAAGGTGAAAAGAAACTACCCTATACATAGTTTCATTCTAGGCTTTATGGAATATTTGATATTGGACCACGATCAGTTACTTAGTTAATATTGACAAATTATGAGACCAATTGTATTTTTTCATAGTTCAGTGTTTAAATTTATATGGCTCTGAAAATCCAGTCACAAAGTGCTATCTAGAGCAGGGCTATCAAACTCCCAGCCCATGGTTGGGATGCATCACACGCTGGCCATGCCCATGTTTTATCAAAGTGGAAAAAAAGTCCCAATGTGTTACATGATGTCACTATGATGATGTGAGTTTAACACCCCTGATCTAGAAGATTCTCATTCATGTTCATATTGATCCTGAAATTAACTGCAAATTACATGTGCATATGTTTTCTATAAAGGAGCACTTAGTTGGTACAAGGGGACATTTTGTACAAGACTACACAACCCAAAGTTCTATGGCTACTAGCCTCGAAACTTTTAGTGCAGGCCCTTGATGCATATCCAACTATTTCCAGCAATGTGGATTTGATTTAAATCGACTCAATTTAAATCATAATTTTTAAAGAACAATTGTCACCTGTGTCCAGCAGCTGTTCCTCTTCTGACCTGCTGTGGACTCACTGACAGTCCCATTCACTTTAATGGGATGGCTGGTGATACGGTAGTGACACAACAAGATGAGGGATGTGGCAGGTAGCAGGTGACAGGATATCCCCTAACAGGCACTGCCATGATGGATCTGAAATGACAGGTGCTCTTTAATACTATACTTATAAGCTGCTTAGAAGATTTCACTTTCATTTTTACTGCTTGCCCTTTCTCCTCACACTTAGAGCCTGGTGGTACAGGTGTATTTCTCTTCAAACTATTATACAGTTTGTAGTGTACATAGATTTGCAAAAACAATGGGATAAAAGAATATTCCTGAACTTTGTTTTATGATTTATCTCATGGTTACTGTGAAATTGTGTGAATGCATCAATGCAGTGCATGTTATCTCAGCTTGCAGAGCTTGGATTCATTGAATGAGTTTACTAAAAATCTAAATATTGCAGAATATACAGTTCATGTTACATAACTAAGCTCCATTTCATGCTGAATAAATTAAATTATTAATGTATCTTAAATAGTAAACTATAGATAGATTTTTTTTTACTCCAAAAGCATTTTATTAAAATAAATTTGATCAAAATAAAAAAAAATCTGATTTAAATAAAAAAAAACATCAATTTTTATCCACCCTGATTTCCATTAAATTATAGTTTTACAGAAAAGAAATAAACCCATGCAATGTACTAAGTCAGTTTTCATTCATCCAAATTTAGCTCATTATTGCCTCTTGTTGGAATATGATTTCTGGCATATCACTGTATCCACCTGAAAAGATTGTAGGCCACCTTTGGTTTTATGCCTGCATCTGATGCACAATAAAACTTCCTTTGTTACTTGAATTACTTAGAAATGACCTTTAGATCTGTGTTCCATTTATCCAGTAATAAGTAGAATTTAGTGAGGTTTAAGTCTACAGTTAAGTAAATTGTATCTGTTTGTATCAGCAGAATTGAAATTGTTTCTGGATTCCACCTAAATTCTTAAGATGACGAGGGCAGTGCTTTATTCGGCACGGAGTTAAATTTAAACCTGTGAGATGGCCCAGGATTTTTACTCAATATGAAAACAGCCTTGCATTTTTCATTTTCAGCTTTTATTTCATGCATGTTTTTACTTGAGTTAATGTTTCATTGTTGTTGTTTTTTGTTATTTTTCCATTAATCTCTTCCTCTTCAGGTGCAATCTAGCTCCTGTGGTGGAGTTTGCTGCAGACGTGGGAACTAAATCAGATTTTATTACCATGAACCCATCAGTTGTACAAAGAGCATTTGGAGGCTTTCGGAATGAGAGTGACAGAGAAAAATTTGTGCATAGACTATCTATGCTGAATGACAGTGTCCTTTGGATCCCTGCTTTCATGGTCAAAGGCGGAGAGAAGCATGTGCAGTGGGTTAATGCATTAATCCTTAAGAATAAATTGAAAGTGCGAACTGCCTATCCATCACTGAGGCTTATTCATGCTGTCAGAGGGTAAGTGTCTGGAAAAGACTGGTCTGTTCTTGGCACAATGGAACTCATAACTAAAATTTCTGCTAGAGAGAAAGAGTGGCTCTAAAAGGTTTGAGATAATTCCATTCAACTCATAGTGGATTATGTTTCTGATAAAGACATGTTTTAGAGCAAGCACTTCCCATCTGTTTCTCCACTTTAGACACAAAAAAACATGTAAATCTTCATCAGGTATGGCTGGACCGCTTCCCCTCCCCTCCCCCATTTGACTTGTAACAGAGCCAGCCACCACCAATATTGTATGTTCTGACTTGAAAATGTTGCCTTCTACTGTTGTTTTCCATATGTATGTTTTCAGGGCTTTGAGAATCCGCACACTATATTTCTGCAATTGAACAAACAGTAAGGAAATGTTATACTAATTTAAAACATCTATCTAGCCAGCCATCTTATATCAAACTCTGGCCAGTTCCCAAGCAAGAATTAAAACAATATAAATAGTAAAAGCAACGTAAAAACCATATTTAAACTTTCAGTACCATAAATATTGAAAACAAAAACTTGGCACAAGTTGAACGTATGCAGTTGCCTCAACTTATCCCAGCATTTGGAGGAAAAGCTGACTCGACAGTATTTTTTTGGAAGCGTGGGCAGGTAGAGGTTTGCTTAACTTCAGGAGGAAGACTGTTCCATAGGGTAGCAGCTGCCACAGAAAAGGCATCAAGTATCATATATTTTTTATTTGAGATTAATTGATTTTTGGGATGCATCCTTCTGGAGATAACCTTTTCCCAGGTTGTAGTCAGTCATTTCATTGCTATGTTGTACATTTCTGGTGTTGCCTTGAAACGTTTGATATTGCAGCACTTTTTGTTGCTGGAATCATTTCAGATTAATTATTTTGGTTGCATTTTGCTTTTTATTGGCCTTCTTCTTATTAGAATATCATACAGTATAAAGGTAAAGGTTTCCCTCACACAGACATGCTAGTTTCCGGTTCTAGAGGGCTGTGGTCATGTCCATTACACAGCCAAAGAGCCAATGCTGTCTCTGTGGTCATGTAGCTGGCATGACTAAATGCCAAAGGCGCACAGAACACTGTTGCTTTCCTACCAAAGTAGTCTGTATTTTTCTACTTGCATTTTTACATGCTTTTGAACTGCCAGGTTGGCAGAAGCTAGGATAAGTAACAGGAGCTCACCCCATTACGCGGTGCTAGGGATTCGAACTGCTGATCTTTCTGATCGACAAGCTCAGCGTGTTAGCCACTGAGCCACCGCATCCCCATCATACAATATAGTTAGATTTTTTTGCCAAAGGTACTTTTCAAATATGAAAATGCATACCATGCATAATGCATGGTATTATGTAGTGGTAAGAATTTATAGGGCTTTTTATTCTGAAAGCAATTGTACCTATCAATAGTAAAAATAACTGCCCTGATCTACGTAATAGCTTTATGCTCCAAAACGCCAGATTAAAATGCAATCTGCATACTGGAGCTGCATAACTACTATTGTAATCTTCAAAAATCCATTTTGAGAATAGCAAGAGTAATCTTGCCTAACATGGGTTCCCTCCTGATATACAGATTTGTCACATTCTCAGTGTGTATTACATATTACATTCAAATAAGTTGTACCACAGTGGGAAGATTGAGACAGATAAAACATGCATGTCTACACAGTATATTTTCTAAAGCTGATGCGATGTTAAAAATTCCATTCTCTGTCTTTTTGTTCTTTATTCTTTCACTGGAATTGGACAGTCTTTTAATTAGGGAACTGTGCTTAAGCCCAAAACTATCCTCTGCAAACTAAAGCACATGGACATCTTCTGAAGAAACACCAAACAGATGTTGCATTTGCTGATTCTTCTATTATCCCTTCCACTTCAATATTTCATTAGTCTCTGATGTGGATCATTACAAAATTTTATTTATTTACTGTCCAAAACCCCCAAAGTAATATTCTACATGGAACTGTATTTGCTACATAAATGGTGCTTATTGCCTTTAAGCTTTGGGTGCAATTAATACTCTGTTTATCATTTATAAAGCCCTCTGAAAGATTGTCTCTGGTCCATTACAGGCAGTCCTTGTTTGGCATCTGCTTCATTTAGCAACCATTTGCAGCTACAACAGCGATAAAAAAGTAATTTCGTGACCAATCCAAAGCATTTATAAACTTTGCTGAGCTGTAAAATGAAAGAAGGCTGAAATAAGATTGTAAGCACAATCACATTTACTGACCTTATTGTTTTACAATCAAGTTTCTGGTCCCATTTGTGGTTGTATTTCTGACTATTATCTATGATCCAATTGCGAAGGAGAATGTTACTCTTATCTCTTGGATCCCAAGAAGTATATTTCCACTATTTCAACGCCTGCCTTTGAAACAGCATCCCTGCTGGAGGTTCAGCCCATTCCAACCTTGCAATCCTTTAGACCAGGGGTCCTTGTATTACAGTATTACAGCCCCCAGACCTGATACGGCCCGCCAAAGGAATTTGTCCAGCCCGTACGTCATTCAGAGCTGGGACACATACTGAGCTGTGTGCTGGAGTGCCGGGTTGTCAATCAGATGTGCGACATGTATAGCACATGAACTGGTCTCCTGCGGGACCATTGCCGTCTGCTGGGTTGCATGTATAATGAGTCCAGTGAGGTCTCCTGGAGAGCACATGCATAAACTGGATCCTTTATAATGCCCTAGCTGACTTAGCCTTTGCCAGAGGAGAGACAGAGATGGTTTTTCCGGTCAGTTAGAGAGAAGAAGAACCAGGCAGCAGGCTGAAGAGCTATCTAAAGGTCTGCATAACAAATATTAATAGGACATGATTCCAGTGGTGGGATTCGCACCAATTCAACCTAACCGGTAGTTAACTTTGTGTGCAGTTCAGCGAATCAGCTGGATCACCATGCTTGTCTCCGCCCTCCTCTCTGAGGCCATTTCATTTACACAGTCTTTTAAAGCCTGTTATGGTTTTTCCCTAAAGCTCATTGGTAGTGTGTTCATTTGATTTGTAATGTTTATTTGGCTATGGTACATTGTTTCTCCTTTTTAGTTCCATGTTGGCTTTGTTTTTTAAATACTGTATTTTTTAAATCATGCACCTCCCAAAATCTGTGTTGAATTGTGAATCTTTGTGACTGAATTATAAGTTATATAAATTATCAATTATAATGTTGGCATAAAAATATGTGTGCTGGCTGTGGATATGAGATTGATACTAGTTTGATTGCCCCCTCCCCAGAATAGAATAGAGCAAATCTGCTGCTTCTTTCTAACTAATATGAATCAGGTCCAATGTAAGATGATTATGTAGTTTATAGCAGTACCTCAAAGGAATAATTTCCTTTTCTAAACAATGGTATTGTTATAAGCTTTAACATCTATTGTGCACAGGAAGCAAGAGCCGTAAGTTATCGTCTAATAAACAATTTATGGCAAATTAGGATATGTTTCAGATTTAGGAGAGACATGAGAAAAAGTACAACAGAAAGTGAAAAATCATTGCAGGGATTAGGAATAAAGAGATATATGTACCCAGCTGAGATCCTGTCATTTAAATGGGAAAAAAAGCATGGAAGCTGTGAAAAGGCACACTGATGTTCGCCATTAGACAAATTATTTATCAATAGTTGAACAGAACACCCAACAAGATTTAAAAAAAACCCCCACCAAAAAGAGTATGTTGAATTAGAGATGAATCTGACTAGTGAAAGACTAATGCTTCACACAAATATGAATCTACAACGTGCAACTCAAATAAAGACCCATTTGTGGCCCTTTTAGAGTTTTCTGGATAAGGATAGAAAGTATGGCAAGTCAAACCTGAGGAGCCATGCGCTTGCTGCGAGGTCTTAGCAGAATTGCTTTCACTGCCACAGTCCTAAATACAGAATCTGGTAAAAGAACAAAGCTGTAAGAGGGCATCTGCTTCCAAATTAAGTGCCGCAGAGCAGAGCAAGATTGCTGAGAAGTGTGCTTTGGGAATATTAATCTATTCAGGATTTGTTATTTTTAAGTAGACTGTTAGTTGCATGTAGCCCAGCAACCATAATTCAGCCTAAATACCATTTACTGTGCTTGAGTGGAGGAGAGCAAGAGCTTCTGAAATGGTAATCTTTGTTTGAGCTCAAACACTAAGACATTTGACATATGGTTTAGGCAGCTGTCTTCCTTGAAACCAATCTTAGACAAAATCTTGATCTATGAATTTTGATTATTCTGAACCTTTTGCAGAGATTGGAACTCTGGATTGGATTTATGGTATATTGCATATAGGACCTCTGATTCACCATCCTATATAAATTGCATAGCAATATTTTTCAGTTTGTGAAGCCTATCTTAACAGATCACAAAATGCTTTGAAAGGATACTCAATAATTGTTGTACTGGCCTTTTTCAGATATTTACATGAAGGTCTTGTGAAACAGCCTAGTTGGTAGTCATAGCAGGCCTTACAAACTGGCCCATGACCCTTCCACCTTTTAACTCTGCACAAATCTGCATTGAATGCATATTCACATAATTATTCTTCTGTTTACCCTTAGCATTAGCTGTATATAGTCTGTGAAGGATATGTAAAGAATCTGTGATAGATCCCAAATATTGTTTGCCTTGCATCTTTCTGACTGTTCTGCCCAAAAGTGGTTCTGAGAGGATATCTGGATAGTTGCTGCACACACACACACACACACACAGCATACTGTCAGTGTTCCAGGGAACCTCCAAGCTTCTAAAGGATTCCAGAGCTGACACATACAACACACACACAAAGAGCCCAACTCACAAGGGTTGCTGTTGTGGTAATAGGATACAGTAGTATTAAGTATATTTACCATGTATAATTTTGGGATAATAAAAATAAAAATAGTTGGATAAAATCCCAAGTCTTGTCTTCTGCAACCAATACTAATGTATGTAGACAAATTAATTCTCCACTTCCTCACAATCCAAATAATTAGAAACCAATGTATAGTCCATTTTAATAATATAGACCTATCCACATTGCAT